AGTGACGTTTTACATCAATGATGTATGTCATTGTTTTAATTTTTTTTTTTTCCATCCTTATATATTGAAATATAAGGAGACTCAAATGAAAATAACAACGATGATGAATACACAAATAGATGAAACAGTGGCTGATGATCAATAGAATAGATTTTGTTTAACGCTATTATGTGGTCTTTTGGCGTGTAATAGTTTTGTATAATGCTAGTCATTGGATTGGTTTTTAATCTAATAAATAATCATTGACGTTAAAAAAAAATGTTTGTATGCTTTAATCCATCACACAAAAAAAAAATAGAAAAAAAATATACATAACATAAACATGTAAATTATAATGGTATTTATCTAAATATTTTAAATTGAAAAAAAAATAAATATGAAAGAATTCCATTATATTTCATTTCTTACAACCAAACAAGAGAATTGATTCTAACGTATATTTCTCATGTTAATTCTCTATTGTACCAAACATTAGAATCAATTCTCTTTCTCTAGTCTATTTTTTTTCTCTCCATTTCCATTCTCTACTTTAATTCCATTTCCCCATACCAAATGCATCCTCAGTACTTAATGAGTTAAGTACTAGATGTGTATTAGAAGATCTCTTGATGAGAGAAAACAATAAAATGTTCATAAGATTAGTATAATGTGTGAGTCACATAATAGAGATAAAGATGTTAGAAAGAAGATTTCTTCAGTAATGAGACAGACGTTCCTTCAAGGACAAGAGTATGGTTCCTTCGGGGATAAGGGTATGTTTCCTATGGAAACGAGAGAATGGTTCCTATGGGAACAAGAGCATGGTTCCTATGGGAATAAGAGCATGATTTCTATAGGAATGAGATTATGTTCGTGTAGGGAAAAGATATGAGGATCCCTTTTGGGGATGTAGATAGATGCTTCATGTGGGAATCTAAATTATGTATGATTAGAGAAGCTAGAGAAAGGTTCCATAAGTGGAACAAGGAAAGAAAGTTCTTTTAAGAACTTAGATGAAATCCACTATGTATTAAGAGTATGGATTTAAGAGAAGAAGAAGGATTTAGGATCCACGAGGGATCATAAGAGAGAAGAGTAAGTCTAGATGAGTTCACCTGGTAATGAAATATGATGTCTTTTCCCTTAGAGAATAGATGAGGTTAGAGTATGAGATGTGACCGTTAGTTCTAGATGAGAAAAGAATGTTGAGGCATTAGAGTTGAGAATAAAGAGAGATGAAGAGTAAGAAGAGTATGAAAAGGCATGCTAAAAGTTTGAGCTATGAGAAGAACAGAGTAAGAGATAGAGAAGATCATGCATAAATCATAAAGAATAGTAGAGAAAGATGAGATAGGATAGAGTATGGAGAGAGATAGAAAGATGAAGAGAAAAGTAGAGAAGATATAGAGGTAGAGACCGAAATAGATTATGTGCAGAGTATGAGAAGAGCCTAAGAAGAGGCTAAGAAAGAGTATGAGTGAAGTATGAGAAGTACCTAAGAAGTGGCTGAGAGAAGAGTATGAAGACTAGAGTAGATGACAAAGAAAGCGATAGATGAGATGAGCAAGAGTAAAAAATAAATATGAAAAGAAGAGTAAAAGAGATAGATGAAAGAAGAAAGAATAACAATGTATGTTATTAGAGAAAGAGATTAGATTGCAGAGTAAGAGAAGGAAGAGATTGATAGGTGCATTTTATGCACCTATTTTGCATGTTATTTCTATGATCATTTCATAGCATTCTTCTTCATAATTCTTGCATAGTTAATTATTTAGGAAATTGCATATTTCATTAAGAATGCCTGGTACTTCACCAAATTTTGATTTATTTTGCAGGCACTATGGAGCATGGAACGTGGAGCTTGGATGCATGGATGCATGGAGCTTAGAGCATGGAGCTTTGGAGAATGAAAAGAAGATAAACCGGCCATTCCATGGAGGAAAGCATGAAGACATAACCCGAGTCAGTGTTACATTGTCATCATAGCAAATGACTATAATTGAAACGCGGTTCTTGTCGCACCGACACGGGTCGTGTTTGTCCTTTATCATCTGATAGTTGAGCAACATGACTCGTGGTGAAGTTTCACCGAAGATGGAGCCAACAATGAGGACTTATTTGTGTTTTAGCAAAAAGCATGGGCCATGCTAAAAACACATGGTCAAGACAAATGGCCATGCCAAAACACATGGGTAAAAGGCATGGCCATGCCAAAAACGCATGGCTTCATGGCATGCACGTGAACATTAATTAAAATAGAAGGAGACGTTATTTTTTGGGGGCAGACGGTTTTTGGAGCAGTTCTGGCAATCTTGGGCAATTTTGGGAGAATTCTTGGAGTTTTTAAGAAGACCTAATCATTGCAAACACTTTGGATTTCATTTTTGTAAGAATTAAACATTCCAATTCCATCTTTATTCTTATTTGATTTGTTCTTAGCCATGTGTGGCTAAGAAACCCTAGTTTGCAGTTCTTGTTCAAAACATGTTGATTGCTTGACTTGAAGCATATGATTTGATGTTTGATTTGTGATTTTATTCTAGTTATTATGTTTTTGTTTAAACTAGAATCCTTGAATTTGATTTACGTTTGATTGGCCATTTTCATTAATTGCATTTTTGTGCAGTTAATTAACTTTTGGGGCACCTAATCGTTTTATAAAGTTAATAATTGGTAACAAACAATAAGTTTTCTTATTGTAAAACATATATAACATGTTTTCACACTTCCGAGCGTATGTGAAGAAATGAACATTGTTGGGAAGCCTGTACAAAACTTAATGCAATTTTTCAATACAAACTAAGAGCGTGTTTAGTTTGAATTAGTAAAGCTAGGTCTAGTCAAAGAGCGTGTTTTGGTTAGATAATTTGGCAAATGAGAGGTATTAGAGCGTGTTAATATCTTTCAATACCGAGTTAGAATAGCAATCACAAATTACATCAAGTCATAATCAAGTTAAACAACGATATTGAGAACTAGAACTGGAACACTTATACAACTTGTTTACAAATCTATTTCATTTCCTGCATGTTTCAAACTTGATTGTTATTTTATTATTTCAATTTTGCAAACAAATCCCCCTTTTGTGATCAAAGTACCTTGCGCAAAAAGGTATAGACTTTTGTCCCGTGTCTCTGTGGTTCGATCCTGCTTGCCTTGTACTATTTTTTAGTGCATTAAAGCAGTGTATTTAGAATTTGTTGTACCCCCTACCATTTGTTGGGTTTGACACCCCTAACAGAGATAAGAAAGAAAGAGTAGATGAAACATGAAAACATATAAGAATATAACTCACAAGACATATAGACTAACGTAACAGGTCTAATGTAGTAGATGTTTCATGTTTTAGAGGTTCATGTAGAAGCAGTCATGGTATAATAGGAAAAGATAGGATCACAAGGCCTAGATTAGATTATTTAAATATATTTTCTTGTTCTTTTATGAAATAGATTTTTATTGTAAACCCATGATTTGGCTGGATGTAAAGTGTTTTAATTTGTATAGAATTCCACATATTTTAGATAAAACTCCAATAATCCCAATAGATTAGATGATAGAAAATCTAGATCATTACACTAAATATTCCACCTTACGGATGCTTTCATTCAAATCTTGTTAAAAAAAAATAATTTCTAAGAGTTATCGGTCTCTGTCATGCTCAATCCGTCTTAGGCAACCCTGTAAGACTTAGTTTTATCATCGTATTTAACATTAAGTACATGATATCAAAATATCTCAATTTCAAATGGTCACCATCTATTACGGTCAATGGTTACATCGACGCCACGTAAATAAAAATATGTAAGTGATTAGGGCTATGCCTATGAGTATGCGGTATCCATTAAAAAAATGGTTTGCATAATGGTAAACTCTTTACTTAGTTGGAAGGAGGTCTTGGGTTTGACTTTTGCATCCCATTTTTAGGTTTCCCTTGAATGTAAACATTAAAGAATATTGGCAAAGGCTTAATTACGAAATAACGCCCCAACTTTGTGGTAATTAAGCCTTTGCTTCTTGAGTTGAGTTAAAATTCAAGTCAGCAACCACATTGGCAAGGCAGGTGACTGTTAACCACATAAATGTATACAAAAAATTCAGTGGTATTTTTTAAAAATAAATCAAAAGGTTATTTATAATTGTATACAAAATTAGAGATTAATAGTAATGGATGTACAAAATTAAAAGATTATTGATAAATCATAATATCGTATACAAAAAATAAGTTCACTTGTAAAACATGTATAAAACTTAAAGTTCGTTACCCTTCTATGTCATTAACCTAAGTTGGAACTTGAAAAAATAAAGGATATTAGAAAAATAGTATATTAGAAAAACCCTAAATGGGGTTGTTTGGTAAATCCCATTGTTGAACCTAATGTTTCTTACTTTTTAATAATTGTGAAAAGTAAAGATTGCTTAAGAGTTCAAACGCTCTTACATATTAAACCAAACACACTGAAAGTTGACGGATTCAGATGTGATATTTGAATAGTTTCAAATAAGAGGTTAACAAACAACAATTAATAAATGAGTAACATGGAAAAAATATACAGATCAATGTATTCCTCGAAGGATAGTGTGACATTTGATTTATATATCGCATGGGTATAGGATAGTTTTATAAGTTTACGTAAACTTGTTTATTATTTCGTATGGACTAATAAAAAAACTTGTAAAGTTATGTATTTTTTATAATATTATAAATTCATATATGTAAATCATGTGCATATATTCACGAAAAATAGTCGTTTTTTCAATTCTTTTTTAGCAAATCTCTTATATGAGATCAATGTAATTTTTTGATGCTGTTCACTTAAAAAACAGGAACAAAATTTCTTATGTTTTCGAGGTTAATTACATTCTTATTTGATAATGACACAAACGCGCACATACCCACTACTCAATTGTTGTATAGTTTTTGTGACATTGACACAAGTGGTTAGATTTTTCGAAGTAATAAGAAGACATTGAAATATGAATATTCTAATTGCTATAGTAAACAAATTAACAAACATATACTCCTAATATTTCCATTTAATATTTTACAGGTTTTAGTTCCCTCTACATGACATCATGTGAGGTTGCAACCCCTAGTTAGTTCCTAGAACATGAATAATAGATACTAAAAACATACTCTAGACAACACAAAGAGTTCTAGTTAGTTATTCTAATAGCTATGAGCATCTCCTTGTTCTTATTCTTAGGTGCCAAACTAGACCCTCAATCCCTTTCTCTCTTCGGACAAAACGTGGTGATGTGTCCTTTCTCTCCACACTCGAAGCAAATCACCACATTCTCCGGGCACTCTCGAGCCACATGTCCCGCTTTCCCACAATGATAGCAAAATCTAGCCTCCCCCTTTGGCTTCTTTAAGGACCCCGATGATGTCGACCCTCCCCACTTCCTCTTTTCTCCAACATCTTTCCCCTCCCTATTCTCATTTTCCTCTACACTCTTAGCTGCACAAATGGCCATATCCAAAGTTGTTGCTGTTCTTGATGCCATCAAGTACTCAAGTGGCAACCCGGCCACAAAGAGGTCCACACAATCTTTATCGGTTGGAGCCAAATGTCCCACATACTGCAATTTCTCAACAAACAAACACACATACTCATCAACCGTCATGTTGCCCTTTTTTAACGTGAGAAACTCATTTTCCATCTTAATAAAATCTCTCACCGAGCAATATTGTTTCTTTATCCTCCCAACAAAGTCGTTCCACGTGAGATGGGACACAATTTCATCACCCAACAACACTCGGGTCAAGTTCCACCATGTCCACGCCTTCCCTTTGAGCATACGAACTGCAAACTTCACCTTTCTTTCCTCTTCACACTCGCAACAATCAAACGCCATCTCCATCTCAGTAATCCAGTTCAAGATCGTGGTTGGCTTTGTGCTCCCTGAGAACTCTGGTGGTTGGCAACTAAGAAAAGTCTTGTATGAACACCCATGCAATTGGATTGACTCCACTTTCTTCTCGATTATTCGGATTTGCTTGTGGTTTTTTTCTGCCATGTTACGAATTTGTTCGATTTTTGCCTTTATTGACAATAGAGAATTAGCCTCTTGATTCCCAAATGCCTCTTCTTGTGGTTGTGGCACCCTTTTACTTGGTGCTATCATACTAGCATCTTGATGGATAGTGTTCACCTAAATACAATGATCATATGTTAACCATTTAACAAATATCATAAAAGATCGCAATTAAAACTAATAGAAAGATTCTATTGAGAATGTTCGCATTCAAGATTGTTTAAATAGAAAAGGTGATTCAGTTAGTTATGTATTATGAGTAAGCTAAGCAACTACTTAAATTCAACAAAATGAGCAGCCACAATGTATACTCGGGACTCAGGAGACAATTACATGTTTGCCGGCGAGATATTGTTTAGTGACGGCCGGTGGAGGTGAAGCCGTTAAGGATGAAACGTGTGGAGCAGTAGCCATGATCGAGAATGAAAAGGAAAGAGGTCTTGTTGAACTCCAATGTTGGAAATTGGAAAAGCAAAAGGAGATTATATAACAAAAATAATGGGCTCCTGTTAACACGAAGAATTCATGGGAAACTGATTTTGACTGAGGAGACACCACCTTCACCATTTTGTATGTTTGTATCCAACCTATAAAATTGATTATTAACTAAAATTATATTTGAAAATATTAATCTCAAGGCAATCTATGTAATAATTTTAACATGTAATTCACATCCATTATTTTAAAAGATTATATTTTTAACATGCAATTTCTTAATATTATTATTATTATTATATCCCTTTAATAATAAAGTTTAACATAACATATAGAGAATATAATATACAAGTTTACAAAGTAAAAGATAGGATTTGAAACATTAATAATAAAAGGAGACGAATTGCAAATTTGCATAATAAGTACACAAAGGATTAATGTGTGCTAAAATTTTCACGAATTTTTCAGAATTCTCATCATGCATAAGGAATTATCCAAAAAGTAGGGCCGTTAGCAAAAACAGAAATCAAATAATCATAAGAACCAAATGATGGAAAATTATAGATTATTTGATTTGGTTAATTAAATACATATGATTTTATTCGGCTTTTTCAGTAAAAAAAAATTCTTATTTTGATTAAACGGAATAAAATCAATAAATCATTATATTTGAATTTTTATATTTTACTTTTATAAATTAGTATTTTATTTTATTTGTTAGATTTATTACCATTACTTGATTTTTTTACTTAGTAATTAATTACTATTATTTTATTTGTTAGATTATGCAACTGGTTTTAGGGCATTGACTTCTGATTATCTCACCTTTGAAATGTGCTTAGTCAATTATGGATGTGGTTCCAAAGGTTTATCGATTATTCAGTTTGATATGCTAACAAGTGCAGGTAATGCTATTGTTTGAGTATTTAAAGTGTTTATATATATATATATATATATATATATATATATATATATATATATATATATATATATATATATATATATATATATATATATATATATATATATATATATATATATATATATGGAGAGAGATAGAGAGATGTTCAAATGTTTCTAGCAACTATTGTGTGCATGAATACACCAATAGAAATTTAGAAAAAACTAAATAGTTAAATAAATCATTTAAATGTATTATACTAATCTTTGCATATTTAATTATGATAGATAATTAATATATTGTTTATTATTCCTTTAAATATGGGATGTAAAAGTCAAAATCTGTTAAAAAAACCCTAGCCAAATCTTTTTTCTCATTCTCTGTAATTCTTCTTCAAGTCTACAACGATTTCTCCTCCATCTTGTTTTCCCAGCATCTCCTCTCCTCTCCTCTCTAATCTGTTAATTTATATATAATATTTCACTTCTAAATTTTTGATTTATGTGGATAGATATCAAGGGAGGAGGACGATTGTCAATTGTCTGCCCTTTGGCTTCAAAATTCAAACCTCAACTACGTTTTCCCCCAATTTCCCTTTGGCTTTGTCGATTTATCACCCCTTTAGTTTTGGATACAGTCGTCGATTGTTGTTTGCCTGCAATTGACAAATCCACAATCCGTAATAGTCACATTTGAATTTTGATTGTTTTGTGAATTATTAATTTTTGTTTTGTGATGAATTTGATGTTTTATGTTATTATTATGTTCTGTTTTGTTTCTTTTTCAAGTTTCAAATCATCAATCTCTTTACATGCATGATATAATTATAATTATGACAGTGTTTGTACACTTGATTTGTCTTGTGAATTAGTTAAATAAACACAATTTTATTTGTCAACACAAGCTGCAACTTCTTTAGATATGGATGAATCAATCTTATCTGATGATCAAGTAGACAATCTTATCAAAATTTGTCCTACTAAACAAGAAATGGAGCTTCTCATGGTGAAAACATAACTTCATACTTTATTTATTTATGTAGTGAAAAAGTTGCAGTTTTCATTCATGTATTGATCTTCTTCATAGTCCTTTTTTCTATTTAAATTGTTAGGTTTTTTAAATGCAGCTTAATGTCGATCATTCTGCTAGAATGGAATATCGAATTCTAATTTTTTCATAATAGAATCTTGAATTCATTGTCAACTTAAGCAGTGAATTAACGTAATCAATCATGTCAGAATAAAATTGGTTTCTATTCTTGTTATCCGTCTTAATTCTTATAGAATGACATCCAAAATAATGAAACATTACATTCTTTCAGAATAATATACATTGCAAGTTTAAGGATGATTGTTAATATTTGTTTGTAGAAATTATAGTTATATTCTATTTGAATGTATATCACATTCTATTAGAATTTATTGTTTTATTCTATTTAATGCACTAAATTTTTTAATATTTGAAAGTTGATTATGTTTTCCTTGTGAATTTAGGTTTTGAAGAGGTTGTCATTAATGGGGAAAATGAAGAAAACATGGAGAACGATATTGTATTTTAACATAATTTATTATGTCAGAATGTATTCTCTCAGAATAAAGTAGTGTTTTTGTTAGATTTTGATGTTTTTTTTTTTTTTTTTTTTTTTTTTTTTTTTTTTTTTTTTTAACCATTTTTAGTTTTAATATTTAAGAATAAATGTAATCCTTAAACCATTACTGGTCATAATTCATTTTGAATTATTATAATAATTGTTTAGCCTTTTTGTTTACGGATGAATGTAATAGTGATTTTTAAAGAATAAAATCTGCATTATTTAGAAAATGTTATTCTTGATAATATGTTGTATAATTCTTTAAGCATGTTAAACATAGAAAGTATTTTGAATGAAACAATATTCTGCAAGAATAAAACCGTAAATATATTTATTAGTTTATTATTGAGTTTTTGTCATTCTGACAGAATAAAATCGGTTATTATTATAAGTAATATTAAAATTTGATTAGAATTAATTTAAAAAATTCTGATTTTTAAAAAATAAGAGAATTAATGATCCCTTTAAATTCAAAAATTTTCTTATTTTAAAATAGGTTAATTGACCAAAATACCCTTTTGCTGAAATTTTTGTGATTATATGATACATGTTGTCTAGTTGTAATATCATAGACCATCAGATCATGATTGTTGAGTATATTCATCCGATGGTCCAAATCTGTGCATTGCGACACACGATAGTTGGTAAAAACAAAATAACCTAAGCCTATATATATATATATATATATATATATATATATATATATATATATATATATATATATATATATATATATATATATATAACCCTCTTTAGGAACAATACTCTGTTCCTATTGTTTTTTTTTTTGATATCTTTTTCATTAATGCATGTGCTTCACCGACTTCTTTTTGGCTAACGACGATTTGATTTTTCACCATTTATCTGATACACTCCTTCCACCGCCTCTTACACCCAATCAGATGTTGCACCGCCATTTTAATCTTACCAGAATACTGTTCATAGGATGGTTTAAGTCTACCATGGTGACCGCTCAATATCCTTCCCCATCGCCTCTATTATCCAATATCTTCCTATTTTGACTCCATCCCCTTTGACTGCTTTGAAATATCACCTAATCGTGTCCACCATCGCTTACTTCCTACATACAATCTACCTTCTCTCTACCATTCTCCCTCTACCTCGTTACGATAGACCGGTCAGGCACCTAGAAAAACATCAATCGCTACCATAGACGATCTCCTCCACACCTGCTTTAACTTCATCAATGGCTTTCTCTAACGCGCACTGATTGTTCATAAGGTTAGTTTACTCTACCATGATCACCGCTCATCTCTCTATTCTTTTGTTTGGAATCCATCGTCTCTTGATTCTTCTTCTTGGTTAAACCCGGAAATAGCTATGTCTTCTCCGTTAAACCACCGGTTAGATTAATCTGTTCTAGACATTGTCATTCTCTCCTGATCAGAATATACCATCGCCTCCATCCATCTCTCATCGGCTTCTTCTTTTGTTTGGGTTTGAAAGCGACTTCTTTGTATCTGGAAGACACCGATTTCTTTCTTTTACACACACAATTCCTTCGGTTCTTCTATCATTCTTTTTTTCTTCTATGCCTTACCAACGTCATTAGTGAATGTGTAACGCCCGTAGATCCGGGCTAGTCAATTTAGAGATAATAGGAGTCAAAAATAAATTTTTGACAAAATATTAATTGGAATAAATAATCTTAACCAAGTTATAGAATATGTCTCAAGGGTTCCATACATATAAAGAACGCCGAAATCCGAGTTATAACGAAGAAGTTATGGCCCGTCGAATTTTTACGGCAAAACCGACACGACACCGGGAGACGTAAATAGTGAATTTTTGATAAAGGACTTTTTAGCCTTAGTGATCCAAACAATTTTTGTAGTATACGTTAAACCGAGAGCGTCCATAAAAAGAACGCCCAGATCTAATTTCGTATGAGGAAGGTATGAATTTTCTAAGATTTGGCATAACAGTGCACGACCCGAAACTCGAATTTTAGTTCGAGCGGATTTTGGCCTAGGCGACCTAAGTGAGAGTTGAATATCTCATTAATAGGAACTCAACAATAAAAAAACAGACGGAAACGGAGTCTGTATGTAGAAGTTATGAATTTTACGTGGATATTTAACACTATAATCTCCTCCTATCACTAAATTTAAGATCGGTCGAGAATTAGCCAACAGAGTCTAAATAAAAGTTGTAGATCTTGTTTTTACCTATGCGTGGATATAAAGAACATCGAAAATGGAGCGCGTATGCGAAAGTTACGGGGTTTAGAATTCGGTAGGGTGTTGTGCGAAAATGGGTGACGTGGCTGAATATGGGCCAAGGCTTTCTCCCAAAGGCAAGCCACCAAATAGTGATACCTGGCCATGGAATCGATCAGTAGGACCTCCTACTCGACAAGTAGAGCAGGATTCCAACCTATAAATAGAGGTGTCAGGTTCCCTTATTCTTCACACCTTCCCAACTTCACTTTCTCTCACTACTTTCTCTCTCTAAGCCGCCCAACCCCCCTCCCCCCTAAGCCTAGGTAAACCCCCTAGCACCTAAAGGAAGCCCCAAGAAAAGAGCCTTTCAGCTTGGGAACGCTGCTCCAACGAAGCCCGGTTTTCGAGAAAACCCACTTTAAATGAGCTACGCCTAACCTATCTTTAGTATAACTTA